CCCCCCATGCTCGTTGGCCTCAGGCTTGGATGGTGCTTTCCAAGGAAGCAGCTGGGCCCTGTGGCCACAGGGCCCAGAAGCACCCTGCATTGACGCTTTGTTCAGGGATGTGACTTCTGCAAGGGGGAGCCATGGTGGGGAGGGTCTCGGGCCGGGGACATGTCCTGTCCTAAGCATCTACTGCACGGAGAAGGGATAAGAGCAAGCCAGCCAGTGCCCATGGTCAGCTTTGTGAGCTTTCTCTGTTGAATAGAGGTGGTTTCCACCTATCTGCTGTCCCAGGTGCTGGGAGCACACCTTCCTCAAGGTGTATCCCCTGAATCAAGGTGCTTCCTGGTGAAGGTAGCAGTTGCTTAAGTGGCCACCAGGTTGCAGAGGCCCCTGGTTCTGCTAAGGGCCTGATGAGCCTGGTCCACAGAGCCTTAACTAACCAACTCATTCTCCGGATAAGCAAGCAGAAGCTCCAGGAGCTGAGGTGCCCTGAGCTGGCCAGTTATCCAACTATTCAACCTTTAATCTGTCTGCCTGACCCCAGAATTTTGATAAGGACCAGCCAAGACCACAATCAGAGTAGCTGTGTATTCATTGCAGGCAACCCCAGGGCCTCCCACTTGCAGTGTCTAAGCCTGTGTCCCACCAAGTCTTGTCTGTGGGAGCCTGGAGGGTGCATTTAGGAAGTGGCTGGCACCTCCAAGGGTCCAGGCCTCTGGGGGGCGTGGGAAGGGTTATCCCGCCAGCAGACATGAGCCTGAGAGACTAAGGGTGGAGGCTGGAGCAGAGCCGTAGGATGAGGGGTGCATGGCCAGCAGGGTGCAGAGTGAAGCCCCCCTCCCCCCCACAGGATTGCACAAGAGGCTCTTGCGACTGTGATTACTGGAAGTCCTGAGGATTTCTTCACTCAGGGCTTGGCTGGGAGTGGCGGCTGCCTCCCTGGGTGATTAACGTCCTGGGGTGGCCTCTTTCCTGAGGAGCACGCTGGCCAGCCTAGGGTCTCTGCTCATAGTGAGGGGTGGGGCACAGGGTGGGGGTGTTCAGTCACAGGCCACAGGGCAAATGGAAGTCGTGAGGAGCTGGGGTCACCCCTGTGGCTTTTCCTTGCTGGGTGTGCCTGCCCTAAAGAACAGGGACATTCTCGGTGGGGACGTTGTGTATCCTTACCCCGAACCAGGCCTGGGGACTCTTCCCAGCTCAGCTTGGCCCTGACTCCCCAGAGACCCTCTGGCAAGCCTATTCTGGCTGCAGAAGGATAGGGCTGGCCCATGGGCCTGGTGGGCACACCCAACTCAGAGGTGCCAGCTGGTTGTACTCTGCCTCCCAGCCAGACGTGCCAGTCACAAAGCCAGGTGCCCAGGGGTCACCCCTCACATCAGGGGTTCCAGAGCTCATGGCTCTCTATGTGGGTATCAGGAACATTCTTTGGGGCCACATGTTATTCGGTGGGCCAGGCCGCCTGAGTCAGCGTGACCAGCAGGAGGGAATGAGGCGGGGTGAACTGGCCATGCTAAAGAGGCTGCCCTCATCCCAGAGGTCCAGACCCAGTGTCCCCAGGAGGGGGCCCAGGGAAGTGGGTGGGGCCTCCTGTGGCCTTTGAGCATGGAGGCTGAGTAGGAGTTCTGCCCTGGTGTCTGAGAGGACCCCTCCCAGAATAGCTGCTGGGGAGAGGCTGGGAACTAAGAAGCATCCTTGGCAGCACTGCAGTGTTTGGGAAGCCTCAGCTTACATCCTCCCCATTGAGGTGGGGCAGTCAGGGCGGGTGAGGGTGTGGTACATGGCCCATGGGGTCCTACGGCTGAGGCAGAGCCTGGCGGAGAGGGGGAGGTTGACCCCTTTGTGCAAGCCCGGCCTAGCTGTCCCTTGCCGACTGTCCCTTGTCCCCGGACAGGGGGTCTTTGCCCGCTGGGGTCAGAGGCTGACCTCAGGACATGTCGTATCTCTCTCCAGGTCATGATGCCTCCGCCTTGGAGCAAGAAGCCCAGATAGACGCCCCCGTGGCCCAGGTTGAGGAGCCGCCTGATGCTGGCAGTGGGGCCCACCATGGACGGGGAGTTCCCACAGCATGAGGCCCCGCCAGCTGGCAGCATCCTGTACAGCCCGCCACCGCTGCAGAGCCCACTGTGTGGGTCCAGTGTCCAGGTGAGCCTGGCCCCCCAGAGTTGGCCTTGGGGTGGGACGCTGCCCTCAGTGGGGAATCCTGTCTGCCACCAACTGTCCTGTCTGTTCCTCAACTGTGAGCCACTAGGTTTCTTTTGCAAAGATGATGACTGGCCCTTGGGGAGCCACCTACGCTTGACTGCTGCCTTCACCTGTGGGACTGGAACCCCTGCAATGGGCCATGGTTGTTTATTTTTCTTCAGTATTTTTTCTTTGTGATTCAGTAGACTTTATTTCTTAATTGGTTTTAGATTTATAGGAAAATTGTGCAGAACGTTTCCATATACTCCTCCACCACATCCCCTATCGTCAAAATGTCTTGGTTAACGAGTGAGCTACCTTGTTAAAACAAAGGAGCCAATATTGATACATTGTTACCCACTGAAGTCCACAGCGGACATCAGGCTTCTTTCTTGGTGTTGGACACTCTGTGCATTTGTACAAATCTACAATGACACTTATCCACCATTATAGCATCATACAGAGTAGTGTCACTGTCCTGAAACCCTCTGTACTCTGCCTGTGTATCCTTCCCCATCCCTGGCACCCACAGATCCCTTTCCTGTCTCCACAGTTTTGCTCTTTCAGAATGTCTTAGAGTTGAGATTATACAGTATGCAGGCTTTTCAGATTGGCTTCCTTCACTCAGTAATATGCATTTGAGGTTCCTCCATGTGTTTTTGTGGCTCGATAGCTCATTCTTTTTAGCACTGAGTAATATTGCATTGTCTGGATGGACCACAGTTTTATCCATCACCTCCTGAAGGGTGTCTTGGTTGCTCCCAGGTTTTCATGACTATATTAAGTATCATAAGTAACAAAACCACCACAGGTGCCAGCTGGGCCCTCATGTCACAGAGGCACAAGTGGCCCCAGGAGGAGGGTCCAGAAGTCTCCAGCGAGTCAGGCCTGGGTGGAAGCAAAGCTCCTCTTCCACTGTATTTCTTGGCGGGGAGACTGCTGAGGAGAGCAGGTGGGGTGCTGTGCACCAGAGAACAGCCTGGGAAGCAGCAGGGATGGGCAGAAGGCTGGGTGGGCAGAGGAAACTAGATTCAAGCTCAGGGTCAAGAGGAGCTGGGTAATGGGCAACAAGGAAGCAGAGCTCAGGTTCCAGTGCTGGAAACCACTGGGAGGCACCAGGCCCATACCTGGAGCATCAGAACATGCTGGGGGACTCGGAGCCAGGATTTCCTCCAAGCCTAGCTGTGCCCACATGGTATCCTATCATGACAGCATGGAATCTGAACTTACTCCATGTCAGCCTCGAACACTGGGCAGGCACTGAGTTGATAAACCACCTGCAGCTCAAAGCCTAGCTGAGATCCAGCAGGGCCTCCAGTAGGGTCTAGGCAGCTCCGTGAACTGGTGCAGCCTCCTCTCTCCTTCCTGTTGAAGCTGTGTGTACATGTCCCCTGATCCTCCCAAGCTTCTGCTCATGTTGTCACAGCTGATACCTTCCCTTTTCCCCTCTGATCCCCTTCACTGTCCCTTTGTGCTGTCCCCTGAGTGGTATCGGGTTTGTTTCTAGGATTCCATTGTGCCTGTTTCTCAGGCTCAGAGCACAAACTTGCCATTCTTTTTTTAAAAATATGTCTTTATTGATTTCAGAGAGAGGAAGGAAGAGGGGGAGAGAGAGATAGAAACATCAATGATGAAAGAGTTGTCATTGATCAGCTGCCTCCTGCACGCCCCCAACTGGGGATCGAGCTCACAACCCAGGCGTGTTCCCTGACCAGGAATCAAACCGTGATATCCTGGATCCTAGGTCGATGCTCAACCGCTGAGCCACGCCCGGCCAGGCAAACTTGCTGTTCTTATAACACACAGGATTCTTCCTTCTCAGCATCTCATAATTTGCTTAATTATTTCCGTAGTGTTGGACCTTTGGGGTGGTTCCAGTTTTCTATTACTATATATAGCACCCTGTGTTTTCCTCCCCCTCGTGGATTTGTCCCCCGGCTGTTTCTAGAATATAATTCCTGGGTCTGGGCCACCCCACGCCAGGCTGTGCACTCAGCCTGTTCTTCTTGAGCCACTGATTGTGGAGTCTGCCCCTCAGGCCACACTAGGTCTGGCCAGGAAGCTGCTGGCAGACCCTATAGCTCATGCGGACTGCAGGTTTGTGCAAGTCGGTGTGGGCAACATGCTCCTTAATTTTGCTTCCTAGCTGGGTGGAACCAAGCTCAGGAAGGGGAACCAGAGTGGATCAAGTGGGAGGTGGAGCTGCCCCAGGATTTTCAGTGTTGCTCAAGTGGCCAGATTTAGTAAATAAAAACACAGCTGTCCAGTGAAATATATGTTTCACATAAACACACATAATTTTTTACTATGTATGTTTCATGCAATACTTAACACTAAAAAAATCACTTATTGCTTATCAGAAATTCCAGTTTCACTAGATGTCCTGTATTTTATCTGCCTCCCTAGCAGGAGTGACATCTTCCTAGTCAGCTTACAGGAGGCCTGGGCAGCTAGGGCTAATCACCTAGTGCCTGTCCCTCCCAAGGAGAGGGCTAGCCTCTGTTTAAAGATGGAGAATCCCCAGGCAGGCTCTGAATGACGGGCTGGAGTCAGATGTCTGTCTTGGACCAATCACATCCAAGGGGCCTGCCCTCAGAAGTCAAAGCCACCACTTCTGGCTGCACTGGAAAATCCCAAGGAAGGCTCTGATTGGCTGACTTTGTGGTGCCACCTCAGTAGGGTGAAACTGGGTTTTTCCTTATTTATTTATTTATTTATTTATTTATTTATTTATTTATTTATAATCCTCACCCAAGGATATGTTTTGTTTTTGCTTTTAATTGATTTTTTTTTAGAGAGAAAGAGACAAAGAGAAACATCCATGTGAGACAGAAACATCAATTGGTTGCCTCCCTTATGCTCTGTGACCAGGGATTGAACCTGCAACCTAGGTGTGTGCCCTGATCTGGAATGAACCCCTAACCTTTTGGTGTATAAGATGACGTCCCAATCAACTGAGCCACCCAGCCAGGGCCAAACTGGGTTGTTCTTGATTGGCAACCTTACTAGAGAGGCTGGGGAAGGAGGTTGGGGTTGCTGGGTAGACAAAACGAGGAGTCACCCCACCGTCCTGCCTCCCCAGCTGAGGCCTTAAGGTCCTCGAGGACCTAGGGGTCTCCTGGCCCAGGAGCTCTATGAAGGCTCCCCAGGCCTGATCTAAAGTGTAGGTGGAGAAGGTCAGGGAGTAAACAACCCCCTCAGTCCTCCCCATCCCAGACACCTGTAGCCTCCAGGCCAGCTGTGCTCCTTGTGGGTTTACAGTGTAGGCACCCACTCCCTGGACTGGCCTGTTCCAGGCGCTCTCCACATGCCCTGAGACCGTTTATGCTAGCTCATCTAAGGAGGCCAAGCCTGGCCTGGAGTAGAATGTTCCGGAAGTGCCTGTGACCTTGGGAAGTTCACATCCCTCTGGAGCTGGATTTCTCTTCTCAAATGGGGCCACAGGGGGGAAGTGACCCTGGACCAGGGCCCTGGGGAGAAGTAGGGTTGCTAGGGTATCCCATGCTGCTCTCCCAGCCACAGTTTCCTTCTGGAGGCTTCCACAGCAGATTCCTTGTGGCCTTCATGCTGGGGAGAGGCCCTGCACTTCTTTTCCCCCCAATTCTTTATTTTGATTTTTTTTATTTTGCAGCCTGTGCAAAAACTGAGAACTGGCGGGAGGCCTCTTCCAGTCCATAATGTCTTAACATGTCTCTCTCCCCTTCTTCCTTGCACTGATTCTCTGGAACTGGACATCTGGACACTGGCAGGCCCCTTCAGGGGTCAGGGGTGGGGCACAGTGATGAGAATTCATGGCTGACATTCATGGCTGGTTCCTCCCCTTGGCATGGAGGGGGTGCAGGAGAATGGAGCTCTAGTGGTTTTGGCCATCTGGGCTGGTTCTGGGCCAGATCTGGGTTAGGGTCTCAGAGAGGGAGGACATGGCAGCCAGGGGAGTTGTGTCCATCCACTTTACTGAGGACCAGGACCTGCGTGGGCCAGGCAGTAGGAGGCTGCTGGCTGCTGGGCTTCTGGGCTCCTGCCTCAGACTTGCCATCCAGCTGGGCCAGCTGGGAGAAGTGGAGACTGTGTCTGTAGCCAGTAGGCCTCTTCCCAAAGGACATTTCTCCTGACGGGGTCATATGTGAGCTTCATTGACAGGGCTGTGGCTTGTTTTAGGGGAGGGAACTCCTGCTGAATTGAGCTGTGTAAAGGTAGGACATGCCACACCCGTTGTACAGAGGAGCTAGAGTGTTCATGGTCCCACACCTTCAAGCTGGTCCTGTTAAATCGCAGTGCAAGGTCCCTTATGTACCCACTGACCTCAGGCTCATTCTTCCAGCCACGTCCCTGGTGTTTCCCAAAGCAGGTTCCTTGGAACCCCTGCCCATGCTGCTCTCTTGGGCCAGACAGAGTTAGCTGATACTGGTAGCCCCCTTGGCCCGTGGGAGCTCTGAGAAGGGTGATCTCCCAGCTTACCTAGGAGGGATTGGGCTGTGAGGGTCTTGCTAGGGCAGGAGCCAGTTCATGGTGCTGGTGGGAGCCCCTGGCACTGGCCTTGTCCCCCATCCCTCTGAGAAGTCCTCTCTCCCTGGGCAGGCCACACATCTCCCCCATGGGGCCTGGCCCTGCAGGGACTTGCACCATCTTGCTTTGCATGTGGTCTTATCCTTCACTTGTAGAATGGGGGTGGGAGGCTCCTGAGCAGGGTATTGGGCCACCAACACATGGGCCCTTGTGAAATACAGGTTCCTGGGCCCCAGGCCTGTGTGTCAGAACCTCAGGTGGCTGGCAGTGTTGACTGAGGGATTCTGAGACCATACCCACCCAGTCCTCTGGGATTCTGGGACCACACCCACCCATCCCCACCTGGTCCTGCACATGTATTGATCAATACTTTCATCTTCACTGCAACCCTCTCAGTGGGTTCTCCCATGCACTTAGGTAAGCTGAGACACACAGCAGTTAGTTGACTCCCAGGTGATCCAGTTAGGGGCCAAGGGTGGGGCTTGTACCCTGACCTTGGAGTCCCTGGCTCTGGACCACTGGAACCCTACCCAGTGAGTGGGGCAGGTTCCCTCCTCTCCCATCCCCTTTAGCCCCCTTCTGATGCACTCGCTCTTTTGCAGAGCGCCATGCTGCACTACCGGTGGTGGAACCCCTTCCCGCCTACGCCATATCCAGCCTTCTCCAGTGAAAACCAGTAAGTACAACTGCTCGGGTCCAAGTCTGCCTCACCACGTCCCATGGCCACTCTGCCTTCCCGTTCCGCAGTCATGAATTAAACAAAACTAGAACTCGCAGAGCTTCAACCTCCTGCCAAGTGGGCCGTGGGCCTGATCTTGGCTGCTCTGAGGCAGTTGAGATCTGTCTTAGTGAGAACCCACCAGGGAAAAGGGCAGAGGTAGTGGAGACAGGTGCCAGAGAGGGCTCCACTGTGGGGGGTGACAACAGGTTGGGGTGGTGAGAAACTCTGGGGGCAAAAGGAACCAGGAGTGCATTTTCCTCTAGAAGGCAACGGAACTGGGTTTTGTAGGGTAAATAGGAGTTTTCAGGGAACCAGGCCAAGGAATGACCTGTACAAAGGTCGTGGGAGCACATGTATCTGGACCCTTTTTTTTCTGTATTGCTGTGTCTTGGGATGTGGGTGCTTGGGCCCCTCCTTTAAGCTGAGTTTCTGAGACACCAGAGTTCTTTCTGTTAGCGGGTGGCCCCACTTCTGTCTTGTACTCAAAGTGGGGAGGACAGTGCCCCCACCACACCCAACAGCTCACCTTCTTTCCTATCTCTCTCCAGCCAGTTTATGAACTTTGTGGGTCAGCCCTGCGCAGATACCAGCTATAGCCCTGCGGCTGCCACCCCCAGCTTCCTGCCAAAGAGCGACTTTCCTCAGGTAGGAGACCCAAGTCAAAGTAGCCCTTCGAACCCCCAATGGCCAAGTGCCTGCCCACAGGACCCCTGCTGCACCCCAGGTCTGCGCCAACAACCTCTGCTGAGCCATGTGGAAATAGGGCTTATTTTGGGGAATAGCAGTGCCCCTTGGCCCTGCCAGCCTCAACTACAGCCCTGCTCTTCTGATCTGTCAGAGGCAATTTCACCACAGTGGAGAGCTGGGTCAGAGGTTATATAACGAAGGATGGGAGTTTTCCTTGTCACCCCTTTGGTCATGCCCTGTGTGTGGGTGGTGGGGCTGCCTTTCAGAGCACCTGCTTCACTTTCCCCAAACCTTGGTGCCTTCCTCCTTCTCCCAGCAGAGGCTTTGTGTTCACCTTAGTGTCTAGGGGAGGATCCTTGGTCTCCATGCCCCCAGGCAAGAGTGGTGCCCCTCAGTGAGTGTCTGTGTCCCCAAACCTAGCAGTCATTTGAAAATGTGACCCACAGTCAATGTTTGATTTATTCTCTTGGGGGACATGGGGCAGCTCAGCTCTCAAGGAGTCAGGTGGAACCTGCCTTCGTGGCCTCGTCCTTAGGGTTCTTGCTTAGCGCCCCTGTCTCCTCATGCCAGCTCTGGAAAACCGAGCTCTGCGGGGATGATTCTTGGGAAGAAGCCCACGCTCACTCTAATGCCGGCGCCTTTGCTCTGATGTGATCACCCGGGGCCACTGGAGCCTTGGCACTGCATTTCCCTGGGAAACTTCAAATACTCGCCTGAGCCTGTTCTCTGTAGTGGGGGGGGTGTGTGTGGGGGGGCTCAGCATACAGTTTGGGAACCACCCAGTTGTGAGGGTGCTGAGGCCAATCAAGGAGTGAGGGGGCGGCAGCCACTCAGCTCCTAGCCTCCATCCTCCTTGTGAAGTGGGGGCATGTGAGGCCCACGAGGGGACAAGCTGTGGAGGGATGCAGCATAAACCAGTTAATTCAAATCCGCTGGACTCACTTGGATCCAGACAGACCATTCATCTGGCTCACACCCACTGGAGCTGGCTGTTCTGTGCACTCAGGGCTTCAACAGGACCGGGCAGAGAGCTGGACCAAGGGAGCTATACTGTGGTAACCAGTGTTCTCCCTCAAATCCACACCCACCTGGATCCTCAGAATGTGTCCTTCTTTGGAACTAGGGTCTTTGCAGGAATGATGAGTTAAAAATGGAGTTGAGAGGATGCTGGTTATCTCAGCCTGGCCCTAAACCCAGTGCGTCATTAGAGAGAAGAAGAGACACAGACACAGAGGACAAAGCACATGACCAGGGAGGCAGAGACAGGGCCATGTGGCCACAGCCAAAGACACCAGGAGCCAGGAGGGGCAAGAGGGACCCTCCCAGACGTTCACCCTCCAGGGCTGTGGGAGTACATGTCTGTTGTTTAAGTCACCCCTTGGTGACCCTTGTGGCCACCCTGGAAAAGATGAGGCTGGGCCTCTCAGAAATGGGAGCACAGGGCTCATCTACCCTTTGGGGGCCATGTAGAAGAAATTTGAGCCCCCGAGTCTCCCAGGATAAGGGTAGTGATGTGACAGAGATGAGGGGCCCTGTGGACCTGGCCCCCCAGCCTTTCCATTCGCGTTTGCAGTTTCTTCCTTCAGCTCTGGAGTATGACACCTTAGGCCTCTGTGGTTTGGTGGATGCCATTGCCCAACCTTGGGAGGTGCTGGTGTCCAGCGAGGAAGGTCCAGTGGGGGTCAGGGTGCCCTGGCTGTCAGCTCAAGACCCTCCCCCATCTGTTGCGTCTCTGGGTGTTGACTTATCCTGCAGGGCTGGTCGCCTTTTCAGAGCTCTGATTAAGTTCCTCTCAACCCATCTCAGACACTACTCCACATCCAGACTTATCTCCTGATGTTGTTTCCCCAGCTGGGGCATCACCTGATGTGTGAATGAGGAAACTGAGGCATGGGGTATGCAGAGTCCATGGCTCTTGGAAGCCTCCCGACCCCTGTGGCCACCCACCCGGCTTTACTCCCCCATCCCTCTCTCTAATGCATTTGGCTCCCACCACCTCCCCTGCTCTGCCAAGAAACAATGTGGTTTCTCAGCCTAGAACCCCTTGGGGCGTCACAGATGCCTTTCCTAGCACTCAGAGTTCATGTATCCATCTCACAGATGTTTATTGAGCGCCTGCTGAACCCATAGCAGCCCATCCCCCACTCCAGTCACCTTGCTAGGATACCTTGGACCCAGATCTCCCCCCTATTTTTTTTTTTAAACCCTCACCTGAGAATATTTTTTCCATTGCTTTTCAGAGAGAGTAGAAGGGAGACAGAGAGAAACATCGATGTGAGAGAGACATATTGAGTGGTTGCCTCCCACACATGCCCTGATTGGGGCCTGGGCTCAAGCCTGCAACCGAGGTGTGTGCCCTTGGCCAGAACTGAACCTGGGACCCTTCAGTCCATGGTGGGACACTCTAACCACTGAGCCAAACCGGCTAGAGCCAGATCTCCCTTTTAAAACAGCAGGACTGCCGTGGCTGGGTAGCTCAGTTGGTTGGAGCATTGTCCAGTGCACCAAAAGATTGTGAGTTCAATTCCTGGTCAGGGCACATACCCAGATTGCGCATTTGATCCCCAATTGGGGAGCATACAGGAGGCAACGGTTCACAGGAGGTAATCCATCAATGTTTCTTTCTCACTTCGATGTTTCTGTCTCTCTCTCTCTCTCTCTCCCTTCTTCTCTGTCTAAAATCAGTTTTAAAAAACACCATATCTTTGGGTGAGGATATTTATAAATAAATAAATAAATAAAGCAGAACCTTCTTCCAGCAAAATCTCACCCCAGTGCTGAGTGTGGGATCGGACAAACATGAAATCAGAGTTGGCTCAGGGCATGGACCTGTTGGTCAGCCTTCTGCACCTCTCCCATGACCCCCATGACCCCAGGGCCTGTGAGCCGAGCCAGGAAGGAGTCCAGACCTAGCCTAGTATTCGAAGCTCTTTATAGCCCAGCCCGGCCCACTGGGCCCACCACAGGCACCCTCTGTTCCTGATTCAGACTAAGTGACATCACCATGGTGGCTGGCTCAGGGACAGCTCCAAATATATCCCCATCCTGGTCCTGGAACCTGTGGACATGTTACCTCATGTGGATGTCACCTCATGTAGCAGAGGGACTTTGCAGATGAGATTAAGTTAAGGATCCTCAGGATTAAGCCTGGATTACCCAAGGGGCCCAGGACCCTCCATTCTGAGGCACCTGGAGGAAGCTTAGGGCTGGAAAGCATCTCTGTACCTGCCCCCTGGCCAAGCCAAGTGCTCTCCAGACCTTTCTGACCCTTCTGACATCCAGCTTTCTTTTTTTTAAGATTCTTAAGTTGATTTTTAGAGAGAAAGAAAGGGAGAGGAAGAGAGAGAGAAAAACATCAATGTGAAAGTGAAACAGTAATCAGCTGTGTCCTGTATGCCTCCTACCAGGGATTGAGCCCACAACCCAGGCATGTGCCCTGACTGGAAATTGAACCGGCAGCCTTTTGGTGCATGGGATGACGCCCCACCAACTGAGCCACACCACCCAGGGCAGACATCTAACTCTTAAAAACCTGCTTATACAGTTTGTTTTCAAGTCCCAGACATGGGAGCTGGGGAATCCCAAAAGAAAGAATGCATTTCACTGAGTGGGTGTGTTAGAACGCAACCCCAAAGATGTCCCCATCCTGGTCCCAGCACTTGTGGATATTACTTCACATAGTAATATGCAGGTAGAATTAAGTCCCAGGACCCTGAGATGGAAACAACCCTAGATTCCTCAGGGGGCCCAGGGTCCTCATAAGAGTGAGGCAAGAGGGTCAAAGTCAGAGAGATGGAAGAGGCTGTGCTGCTGGAGGAAGGCGTAGGGGTGCAGTGCTTAGAAGCTGGAAAAGGCTAGAAACTATTCTCTCTGGAGCTTCTGGAAGGACCAGCAGTGCCCACACCTGGGTTTAGATCTGTTAGACCCATGTCGAACTCTTGACCTCTAGAACCATAGGTAATAAACTTGTGTTGTTTTAAGCTAGGAAGTTTGTGGTAATTTATTATGACAGTCAAAGGAAACTGATACATCATGCAAAGCCCTCGTGTGGCCCATGGCACACTCTAGAAATGTTCCCTACTGCTGTATAAATTGGAAGGAATTGAAATGGAATATTTAGAGCCGGGCTGGGGGCAAGGAGTGAATATAAACCCGTAGGCCTTAATAAACTTCCTGGTAACTAAACTTGATTCCCAAGTTTCCTGGCAGCCAAAGCAAAAAGAGCAAGGAGATGAGCTGTGTGTCTCCTGTTACCTGCAAGGAGAAAGCTTCCTCCAATTTCCCTTTAAGACACAGAGTAATTCCTCCAGGGTCAGCATTCTGTCCCCCACCTCCACGGGGAATGCATTGGGACCTGTGGTTCCCCAGCCTGTGGTTGGCCTCAGACCTGGCTTTGCTGTCTGAGGTCTTTGCTCTTCTCCTGTCTCCTGGGATGAATCATGGAACCCCAGGGGTATCGGGTCCCTCCCTCGATTTCACACTTGAGCCAACCCAGGTCCAGGAACATTGGGGGCAGGTTGGCCATGCCTCTTTGGGACCCCCTTCACAGATCCCAGGGGGCCTGCAGCATGGGGGATTCTGCAGTCCAGATGCCTCTCTGAGGCAGCTGTGCTGGGTGTGGCCCCCCCATCACGCTGCTCTGCCCAGGGCCTGAGACCCAGGTTCCAATGTGGTGAGGGTTCATGCACCCAGGGCTCTCTGAAAATTTAAGCTCTGACGCCTTTTTCTGCATGTTTGAATGCTTTCATGACAAAACAAATTTTAAAATATTTTAGATTTACAGAAAATTTGCAAAAATAGTACTGAGAATTCCTGGCCACCCTCATTCAGCAAGCTTCTGTGTACGTCATCATCCTACATAACCTCGGCCCCTGTGTCACAGTGTTGGTGATAGACCCAAATGCCAGGTAGACACTGAGGCCTCTGAAGGGTTTGCCTGGGGGCCTCTTGCTGAGACT